CCGCTCCTTCCTCGCCTTCAGCGCGGGGCACATACGCGGCGCCGTCAACGCCCGCTGCAACACTATCGTCCGCCGCAGGGCCAAGGGCTCCGTGCTGAGCCTGGACCAGATACTGGCCGGGGAGGAGGAGGTCCGTGTCCGCGTCCGCTCCGGGATGTACTCCGCCGCGGTGCTGTACGATGAGAGGACGCAGGACTCCGACGCGGTGAATGAGGACAGCACTCTGACTGTGGTGCTCAACGCGCTGTGCAGGGACTCCTCCGGCACACGCATATACCTACTCAAAGGTAAATACGTGCTTTATTATTACACTCTTTAAATGGGTCAGCCTCTCCATGTGGGCTAATGTTGAGAAAATAGGCTTCACTCAATGTGGTCATTACATTTCAGGATTCAGCCTCAAAAGGTCCATGGAAGCATTTCATTTAATATAACTGATGAAGGGTACTTTATTCTAATATAGGGTGATAAAGAGGCATAAAAATATATATATATTATTCCCTTGATACATTGTTAAAATCAGCCTTTAATTGGGGCAATAACCTATAAAACATTTTTTTTTTGCTCAAAATAGGTGAGTTATTTCCTCCTGCATATGGCGTTTATTCTTGAATAAGCCCTTATATTAGTCAAAGTTAAAATATACAATGAAAATTGTAATGTACAATGAAAATAGTAATGATAAAAGTACACTTGCTTGGAAGATTATATGTTTCTGTTAATGATTATGTTTATTTAATCAATGATAATAAAAATAATTTCTCCACATGTCATTAATAGCCTAGTTTAAATGGATATGCCACCAGCCTATCTAGGGCATAGCTCATTTTATTTTTCAACCAACATATCAATATTATTTTAATGCCTTCATAAAGCTACTGAATATTCGTAGCTGCTCCTTCGCCTATAAACCAGAGATTGAAATGTGCTGCAAACTGTGCTTGCTCTATTTTATACACTGGTTTCATTTTTATTTTATCTGTTTTTGAATTTTACAATACACACACACACACACTCGCTCGGTCACTCACAGCTACACACATACACACACAGACCAATGGCCGTGAGCTGAGTGAATGAGGTAATGCTGATGCGTACAAGCCACATCAAACCGGAGGGACTTACAGGACACCCGTGATCCTTTCAGAAACAGTTTGCCTGGGGTAAATCATAGATGGGAAGCTGTCTAAATCTAAAATCAACACTCGATTTACCCACCAGACTATATTTAGACTGCAGGAAATCTGAAAACCAAAGCTGCTGCAAGCTGCAAGCTGTGGCGCATTCTTTTTGTGTGTGTGTGTGTGTGTGTGCATCCTAATGACGCAGGCGCCTTGAAGCACAGGAGTGAATGTATGTAGCTTACAAAGACGACATTTTCCCAGTTAATCTGATTTGATCCCTGAGGTGCAGAGAGCGGTGGTCAGCCTATGTAATAAAAGCAAAGGGATGATGAGATTGTTTTCAAATCCACGGCAGTAGATACAGGACAGAGTAGGTCAGGGGTCGGTTTCAGTAAATAAATCCTGGTGCAAATGGTACTGGGATGTTAATGTGGTTAGCCATGCTTCTTTTGTCCTCAAATATGTGTATGCATAATAATCTCTATTTCTGTAATGTTCCTGGAGGCTCTGGTGGTCCCCAGTATTGAGTGAATCTCTCATGTTTTACTATAATGTTATTTCTAATGTGGTGCCTTACTCTATAGTCATTTTTCTAGAGTGGTGTAATTATATCTTATGTCTCCTTTCCAGGTGGATACGACAGGTTTTTCACAGAGTACCCAGAGTATTGTTTAAAGACCAAATCCTTACCGTCCCTCACCAGCCAGTCCAGTATCGACTCTGCTTGCTCGTCTTGTGGGACACCACACCATGACCAGGTAAAACACAGCAGTACCACTGGTGTCAATCTGATGTAGTTCATGTGTGAACTGCTACTGAGTGTGTGTACAGCCAATTGTTCAGTCTGAAAACGAATGAGCGTTTTTCAATGGAAAAAAAACAAAACAGTTACCACACCAAAAAGCGATGTCTTTAATTAGCTTACTCGGTTAGACTAAAAGTGTTGAGTTCATAATAATATGTAACAGAAAAAACTGTTAAATGCATGATTTTGTTTCAGCTTTTATGCTGTTCAGTTTCACATACTGACGCAGAGAGCTGCCGTGCGCAAACACTGGATGTTATTTGTCTTGCTATGCAACGGTTGTTCACTTTCCCACATTCATTCAACCACATTTGCCCATCTAGTCTGGGTGTCCAAAGAAGTGAAGTCATAGACTTGCTTCTTCAACGTAAACCAATGAAAATCCACTTTTTATTTAAATCAGTTATTTGTCTTTTGATAGGCTGCACTGGAGGCCATAGTTCACCATTGATTCACCTCTGCGCTACTTCCTGTGACCTGTTTGGCCTGGTTTTTGTTAGTGGTCTGCCATTTGAGCCTGCAGACTTTATGCAATGTTCACAGTCACATGTGGTGTGGGTGTAATTCCCCTGGAATGCATGAGGAGAGAGACACAGGCAGTCCTCTGTGTTTTCTAAGAAAAATGCTTGATAGTCTCTCAGCCACACTGTCAGGTGGGAGTTTTATTCCAGGAACACTGTAGCTTCCTGTTGCAGCATAGAAACGATAGGCCTGGTAGAATAGCCAGTTGTGGTATCTCACGCGCTATTTTCCTCTCTAACAACCCCCCTTACCCCTCCCCTTCTCCTCACATTACATCTCTTAGCAGTATTGATCATTTCCTGACGCTGTGTCAGTACCAAGTTCGTCAGCAGCAGTGACATAAACAGACAGAGCTCTTGTCAATAAGCCTCACTACCGGTATAGACCAGCAACCGACTGACCCCTCAGATCCAATGACAGGGAAAACAATACTTCCACTATTACATTAGAATAAGGTTTGAAATATGTTTCAAGATAAACAAAAATGGGTTGGCAAAGTTGGATTGGTGCATGTAAACATCAGGATATATGTAATTTAGATTAGAATATTTTATAAATATTTTTGTGTGTGTGTGTGTGTGTGTGTATGTGTATGTGTATATATATATATATATATATATATATATATATATATATATATATATATATATATATATATATATATATATATATATATATATATATATATATATATATATATATATATATATATATATATATATATATATGTATGTATGTATGTATGTATATATATATATATATATATATATATATATATATATATATGTATATGTATATGTTCAGTTAAATATTTCCTCTTTATAATATGCATAAGACAGCAACAGATAAAACACAGCTATTAATCATAAAAACGATGTTGGTTATGTGTTGGCTTAGGCATTTAAATGTTATGGCCAACAGTTAATATTATTACCCAAAACACAACTAAACCAGAAAGGACAAATAGATTGACATATTCAGTCATGTCTCAGTCAGTGCTATAACAGCATGTACTGTGCAGTATGCAGTAGCACGTAGTACTTTTGCTTACACTGTATCAGCTGCAAACACATGTTTGAGTAGAGCTGACTTTCAGAGGAAATGTTGCAGAATTGTGCAGCACATTTTTCTCAGAAGAACAGTTCTTTCTTTCCACCGATGAAGTGTGATCACTGAGAAAGTACATGGTGTCCTCAATGAAGCATGACAGAATGGCGAATGTAAATCACCGGGATAAATCTGTTGTTCTTGCAGATGAATCAATAACACGCTATTTCCACTGAATTTCTATGGTCTGAGCATGTAAACATTAGTCAGCCCATCAGACACGCAGCTCCTACAGCAAGATGTGTTTCCTTATGGGGAAATAACCTAGCTTGAAACAAACGAAATGGCCCGTATCGAATGACCCCACATTAATCACAGATAATAAGCTAACCCTGGCCGATGATAAGCATGGCTAATGTGATTTAAAAAAAAATATTTAAGCGAGGTCACACTTTCACTGAAGACATCTGGTCTTTGGCATCTGCTTCTTTGTCTTATCATGTAAGCTGTTATTCATTTAAGTAAATTATGTCTAACATGGCTCTAAGTTAGGTTGGGTCAGGAAATGTTTCTCCATGTAATGACTCAGTGACGTGAATTAATGAATGATTAATGCACAAACTGCCTCCGATCAGAAAATCTGCCTCTTCACTGCTGATTTTAGAAATAAATAATTAATCATTGTCCACCCGTATGTCTTTCGTTCAGGGTGGCCCAGTTGAGATCCTCCCATTCCTCTACCTTGGCAGCGCCCTCCACGCCTCAAAGAAAGAGGTCTTGGACGCCATAGGAATCTCCGCCTTGCTGAATGTGTCCGCCGACTGTCCCAACCACTTCGAGGGGGCGTACCAGTACAAATGTATTCCTGTGGAGGACAACCATAAAGAAGACATCAGCTGCTGGTTCCTGGAGGCTATTGAGTTCATAGGTCAGTGAGGAAGTGTGTGATTTGCATGTATGGGTGTGATCCATGGTGGATAACCACAAATTTAAATGAGCTTCCTGCTGCAGCATGTTATTGTGGTTCGTTTTTAGGTCACATACTAAAACATTTCATCCGAGTTATGTTTATTTGTTCATTCATTTTGGAGTGATTGTGTACAAGCTCTTGCAGTTCCTGCTGGTAGATGTCAAAGACCTTTTTAATATTAATGACATATGTAGGGCTGCAACTAACGATTATTTTCATCATCGATTAATCTGAAGATTGTTTTCTCTATTAATGGTTTGTCTATAAAACAGCAGAAGAATGCCCATCACAATTTCCTTGTGCTTAAGGTGGCAGAAAATGTCTTGTTTTGTCAGTCTAAAACCCAAAAGATATTAAATTTGCTATAATGTAAGACAAAGATCAAGCAGCCGATTCTCACATTTGAGAAGCTGAAACCATCAAATATTTGGCATTTTTGCTGCTCATGCTAGCAAAACTACCTCTCTTCTTAAATCCCAAAACCAGAATGTAATGTGCATCACTTCTCGTGTGGAGTCTGAGAATTTTTCCCAGAAAATAGCTTTTAAGAGAACTACAATGGAAAGGATTTCCGTTTACTGGACACAGGCACATGGTGACAAATCAGACATTTATTTGTCGGAATCCAGAATTATTTCCAAGTAGCCCTTTAACACACACATTTAAAATCTAACAACCAAAATCTAGTCATCTGAATCCATTGCAGAACAAAACGATGTAACACAATCAAGGTAAAGACATATGATAGCATTTGGAATGATAAAATATTCCAATCAGTCCTGTCTCTGCAGCGTGATTTCTCATTTGTGTTTGTGTATATAACATAGGCAGGTGTGTGATTTGCTATTCCTTTGCATATCCATGGGGTGTGTGTGTTTGTTTATGGTTTCCCTGTGGTGACTGTATGTTTGTGAGCATGTACTCTGATGTGTATGTGTCAGTGCTGGTATGCGTCATAGTTAGCTGCTGTGGGACCAGAGTCTGACTCATCCGCTGTTACTGGGTGAACAGACGCTGTGGTGGAGTTACCTGAAAATCTGTTTGTGTGTGAAAGAGAGTTTGACAGAGGCACAATGTAGACAAAAGCAGAGCACAAAGGATGAGGGATGGGGAAGGGAGGTTGTTAGCAATCAAGCGAGACAGAAATGCAAGTAAATCATTCCAGAAAGGTCATGGAGGAAACCCGGATTCAAAGCATTGGGTTTATATCCACAGAGCAGCACAGCCAGCAGTGGTGCAACATTAGATTAAATTAATCGACATGGAAAAAAAAAACAATAAATGAAGTTCCTCCATTATCTTCTTCATATTCTGTGCTTCCAATTTCCTGCAGGCCACTACACATGCACTGGGACATTAACACGACTAATCGTGAGGTTGTTGGGGAAATTGAATCACTGTAAACGCTTTAATCAAACTATTACATAAATCTTCACAGTATCGAAGTAATTGCATGCGTCTGAACATCCTGAGAGAGGCAGAGACATAAATAGGACAGGGGAGGAAGTGTGAAAGAGGCTGATGAGCCAGAATTTGTTGCACTTGCGTGTTTCAGTTAAATGTGATTTGCTGCTTTCTCACTTTGAGGTTAGCTACTGGTTTGACTGCACCGGAAGGGGAAATGAAAAGAGCTTGAGGGGAAAGCGTCACTGTACATCTGTTGGGTTAAAAATACTGTAAAAGAAATTACATTTTAAGGTGATAGTTTGTTTACAATGTTTTCCATCTTAGTTCAGGGTGTTAGCGTGCCGGTTAACATTTGCCAAGCACGGCTAAGGCTGATGGAAATGTCACTCGTTCTGCAGGCGTTTGGCCATAAACACAAATGGACAAATCAAACATTGACCTGATCATGCCGCTACATGATAAGCTATTGGATACCCAAAGTTCTCACTAATCATTGTGAGGGGGAGTACGGGGGTCTGTACCAAATTTCTTTGCGACCTATCCATCAGTTGTTTTGACATTTCATTCAAAACCACAGAACCTCTTGGTGGCGCTACAGGAAAAAGCCAGTCGATTCAGTAGATGTTGAGAGATTTTTGTAGTAGCTTATAAAAACGGAATTATTTTTACTGTCCATAGAAACCTCTGACTTTGGACCCCCTCTCTCCTCAGATTCAGTACGGGACTCCAGTGGGCGAGTGCTGGTCCACTGTCAAGCAGGCATCTCCCGCTCCGCCACCATCTGCCTGGCCTACCTGATGAAGAGGAAGCGGGTGCGTCTCGACGAAGCCTTCGAGTTTGTGCGCCGGCGTCGCAGCATCATCTCCCCTAATTTCAGCTTCATGGGGCAGCTGCTGCAGTTCGAGTCGCAGCTCCTTGCCACCTCGTGTGCCGCCGAAGCGGCGGCCACGGCGAGCCCGCTGCTCGGGCCCAAGTCCTCAACGACCACCACCTCGACGACAGCCACGCCCACCTCGCCGTTCATTTTCAACTTCCCGGTTTCAGTGGTGAACCCTGCCTACCTGCACCACAGCCAGATCACGACCTCCCCCGGTTGCTGATGGATAGCCAATCACATACTTCCCCCGACAAAGTAACTGAGCACAGACTGGGCTGTCATTGGCTGGACGATCTGTCAAGTCTTACTGGCCGCTGCAGTATAAATATGCTTCCAGTACGGGTGAGAGAAGTGTCATGGTGCCTGAGTCAAAACTCAAAGACTGAAACACTTTTTAAAGTTCAGAAACCAGTCAGCACTCCTTCCATTTCAACACAACATTTATTCAAATTGACCAAAAATGAACTGTAACTCATTTCAGTAAACGAGTTTGGATGGAGTGCTGGACTGATGTTTACTGACGATACACCCTCTTCCGTGAGAAACAACAACAACAACAACAACAACAACATGCACAGAGGCACACTGACACACAAACACTGACACGGAGAGGCATGAGCAGCAGTGAACACACACTTTCTCTCTGTCTCTCTGTGCCTACACACGTTCACGACTACCAACTGAATAAGCTCAGTATGAAGACAGGGCCTGTTGCTATGGAGACAACAGGTCTTTAGGAGAGGAGATGGACACAGGAAGGAAGGAGGAATTTTAAGCACTTGCTCTTTCCCCTTTGGGTGTCCCTCCTGTTGCCAGACAAAAGAGATGGATGGAAAAAAAGAGGGGAGGAGATGCTGATAGAAAGCAGGAGCCTCTTCGGTGACAGGTGCTCTGCCGGCGATCTGACCGGAGCTTCCTGTCTTTCATACGTCCTCTTCCTGCACCCCCCTCCTCCCACACACACACACACACACACACACCTTCCTCTCCTCTCATCTCCTTTTTATCCTTTTATATTCCGTCCCTCCTCCTCCTCCTCCTCCTCCTCCTCCTCTCATCTCTGCCTCTCATCTTCACCCCATCCGCCCCCTCTCCTCTGCTCCTCATCTCCTCACAAGAGAGGCTAAATAAATAAAATTAGATGCCAAAAAAAGGCCAGGGCCCTCATAAATGGACCAGGAAGCCCTACTGCAGGCCCCTGATACACACTGTAGGAAACCCCCTTCTGCTACATCACAAAAAGGGTTGTTATGGACGAATGGACCGTAAGAAAAAGCCCCAAGAGAATGGCGGGGTCACAAAAATTTATTATCGCTTAAAGATTGAGCATTATGTTATTTCTGGGACATTTTGTGACACGTCGTCTTTTTCCTGGATTTTGCTTTTATCGCAAGGCTTATTTTGGAGCACAGTGGCACTTGAAGAAAGCTACATAAAGAAGCATGCTGGTGGTTTTGTATGTTTTAATCCGTCTGTTTCTGTTCTTTTCTGCGAGTTATTTTCATAGTGTACCCAAGTGAACTGAATACATTTGCTCCTGTAGGATGTAATTTCTTCAATTTATGGGCTAAAATGTGCACCACCAGCGGATGGTCCTTTTTAAGATGTTTGTGCCTTGTTCATAAAGGTGTCCAGTGGATTTAGGCATTCCTGGATTTGCCAGTGGAATGATCATTTTTTCTTAGCTGCTAGGGAGCAGATTGCTGAATGTTAGTCAGACTTAAAAACATCTCAGCAGTGCACCACAGGCCTCTTGTTCCACAATGGCAAAACAGCAAAAAGCCTCTCTCTTCATCTCTTCTCACGCACACTCACAGATGGACACAAACACATAATATACTGTATTTGAGTAGGTGGAAGTCCATATTAGGCAGCAGACTCAGAATAGCAATTTTTCAGGCTGACAAGACTTTTTAAGCTATAGAGTTAAAGCAATGTTTGAATAGATTTCCAAAGCAACAAAGACAAACTTGCTAAATCATTAATAGACATTTAAATTGGAGAGATTTTAGGGACCACATTTTCACGCATATATCCTCCGATGTTTTCACGGATTCACCTACCAAACATGAGTGGTTTACACTCTGTTTGCCAAACATCAGGGACCCTCAGTGTTGTTCCTTGTGAGGGGAATCCAGGTTTCACTTTTTAAATCCATGCTGGAAAAAAAAGAGAAGAACTTTGAGGCCATAATCCAATAACAGGAAGTTGTCCTTATGAATCAGTTCATTCTGTGTATATCTGAGTCCGGATGTGCGCACACACCCGTTCAACACAACCATAATCTCCCCTGTTTTTTAAAGGTTGTCCACAGCGCTCTCCTTGAAGTCATGCAATACAACAACAGCAGTGACTTTTTAGCACGTTTCTTAATATGACATTTTCAGACAATGTTTGTATTGCTTTTGCTTTTGACTCCGTGTTAGACATCCAAAGGCACAAAGTCCACCCATGATTGCTTTTATACACGGGTCCTTATGTGTACACACACACACACACACACACACACACACACACACACACACACACACACACACACACACACACACACACACACACACACACACACACACACACCACACACACACACACACACACAGGGTTTCAAAGAAGACAAACCCTTTTCTGTTTTGGAGATTGTCGGCACCTATCTCTGTAGCACTTTGAAGTGATGCAATACTGTATTATAATTGATTTCTACATCATGGTGATGGTAGACTGACTAGACTTAACATAAAGACATTTTGTCTATGTAGAGAGAGTGAGACAGAGAGAGAGAGAGAGAGAATAGAAAGCCAGTCGGTGAAAAACGCAATACTTTGTACACATCTGTGTGGTACCTGTCTGTCTTTCAGCCTCTCTGTGTTAGTCCATCTGACTTGACTGTCCTCTGTCTGGTCAGTGCTGTTTACCCGTCATGGCAATATCAATCCTCCACTTGGACATTTATATTTAAAAAAACAAAAAAACCCAACTTTCCCTCAATTTTATTGTGGAATGAATAATCTGTGCATTTATTTATTACTGAAGATCTGCTGTTGAATAAACAATGTTCTTAATTAAGTTGTATGTGCTTCCTTTTTATGGCAGTGTGTGAAACTGAGTATGAATATACACACTTTTATAAAAGTCAATTATATGACAATAAACATAGTGAACAATGTATTTGTATTGATTCCGACATTGTGGGTAATTTAGGAATTAGTACATATGGATGTAGAAGTACAATAGATGATGCAGGTTTAGCTGCAGGTTCAAGAAAAAGTGCCTCCTCTTCTAAGTCATACAACTTTCCAATGAATTAGTTATACTTGGCTTCAAAAGTAAATAAATGAAGTTGTCAAAATAATCCAAGGAGGCCAGAGGTCAAAGACAAATTGTAGAATGTCAAATACATTCAAGGGGAGGACACAATAACAGTAACACAAAATGCACAAGTACTACTGCTCTCATCTCTACAATCATATGAAGGCACCTCTCTATTTGTGCCTGAAATAAAAACAGAATCAGCCTTATTGGCCAAGTATGTGTACACATACAATGAATTTAACTCCAGTTTTAAGTCGCTCCCAACATTACATGAAGTTACAAGAACAACTTTTATTCAGCTAAAAACAAGGACAACAAAGCTTAACAAGATATGTATAAATACACATACAACTCTTTAATATGAATGTTAAAAACTAATATTTACTCCCCCTTTCAGAGACAGGAATGTTATCTCGGGGGGCCATCTAGTGGTGAGAACATTTAATTGTCCTTGCTCTGCCTATTTCAGATGATGACGCTCACAAAACAGGAGCAAAGCACCAACTCAGCAACAGGTAAGGATGTGATTCCCAATTAAGTAAGCCACAGCAACTGCAGAGATTCATGGTACTTACAACAGCTAATTGACACTGCTCATGGCAGAGTCAGCACAGGAAAGAAAGATTTTGATCACACACATCAAATCTCTGCATTGGTTTGTTTCAGAACTGCAACATTTTAACCCCATTTAATCCCAAATTTTTCCTAGCAATTTGAGTACATGCATTTTATTCCTTAGAACTCCCTAACACACAATATTTATGCCCTTTTTTGATTTTATGTTGGTTAAGTTAGTGAAATACTAGGTTTTATACTCGGTCAAAATAGTGACTGGTGGGAAACGGCATAGTCAAAATTCACACAAATTCTTCAATTAGACCAAGCAAGTTAAATCAATAAAAAACAAACATTAAAAAACACATTTTCATTTCAAAAACATTTAGCATGTCATAGCAGGCAGACATAAACTGTGCCTTAGAATAGTGGTTCTCAAAGTGGGGTCTGGGGACCCCCAGGGGTCCTTATGGTGGTTCGAGGGGTCCTCAGCAAAAAGGGGAATAGTTTTTTTTTCCAATATAATTCCATCCATAAGCAACATAATTACTATTTCGGTCATGGGTTTCATACACATTCTGTAATAAAACATCTACCAATCTAAACCAATCAAACATACCAATCAGTATGTCACCCCTCAAAGACCTGTAGGCCTTGCTTCATTGTAGATATCAGTTATATGACCAAGACAAGTGATGTGAGAAGATGTGTGGAGAACCCTATAGAAACTCAGCAACTCATCCAGGTTCAGATTGGTTTGCACTATATAGGTATTTGACATAATTAGGGCCCGAGCACGACCGTGTGAGGTCCCTATTGAATTTGCTCGGATTATAGGGCCCGAGCACGACCGTGCGAGGTCCCTATTGAAATTGCTCGGATTATTTTTTTTTTAGGGCCCGAGCACGACCGTGCGAGGTCCCTATTGAATCTGCTCGGATTATTAGGGCCCGAGCACGACCGTGTGAGGTCCCTATTGAATTTGCTCGGATTTATATATTTAGGGCCCGAGCACGACCGTGTGAGGTCCCTATTGAATTTGCTCGGATTATTATTTTTTTTTTTTTTTTTTTTTTTTTTTTTCTTTTTTCTGCAAAGTAGGCCCAAATGACATGGCCTAAACATACTCGAAAACTCACCAAAATTTGCAAACATGTCAGAACCGGTGAAAAATTTCGTATTCTACAAGTTTCGCACATGGGCGTTGCAAAATGACTCGCTAGCGCCACCTAGAAAATTGGAAAAAATTAGCCCCTCGTTCACGTTCAACCTACATGTACGAAATTTTCTGGGGACATGTATCATGTCAAGACGCACAAAAAAGCCTCAAGAACCCATAGCCTAAACTCAACAGGAAGTCGGCCATTTTGAATTTTATGGCCATTTTTGGATGATTTACACACTTCGTACTTTAACTAACTCCTCCTAGGGATTTAGTCGGATCGACGTCAAATTTCTGCTGTGCCTTCTAAAGGCATTGACGATGAAAAGTTGTGCTATTTGCGCGTTTTCGTCAATGGGCGTGTCCGTGGCGTCGATGATTCGCAATGAAACAGGAAGTTGTTGTAACTTCAGTGTACATGCTCACATCTGGACCAAACTGTACATGTAGGATGAGAGTCCCGCCCTGAACACATGTACATGCTGACATTCACCCACAGTCATAGCGCCACCTGCTGGCAACAGGAAGTGAATTTTAACGAAGCAGCCCCCGCCGCACGTTTTACCTACGTGCACGAATTTTGTGGTACGTGTATCTTGTCCAGACGCACAAAAAAGTCTCTTGGAGCCATAGCCTAAACCCAACAGGAAGTCGGCCATTTTGAATTTTACGTCAAATTTTGGATGATTTACACACTTCGTACTTTAACGAACTCCTCCTAGGGATTTAGTCCGACCGACCTCAAATTTGTGCTGTGCCTTCTAAAGGCATTGAAGATGAAAAGTTGGCTATTTGCAAGTTTTCGTCAATGGGCGTGTCCGTGGCGTGGCGTCAAAGATCAACTCTTCGCCATGACACGGAAGTTGTCGTAACTTCAGTGTACATGCTCACATCTGGACCAAACTGTACATGTAGGATGAGAGTCCCGCCCTGAACACATGTACATGCTGACAT